TTTTTTAAATCTCTTGTTTGGCTGAGCTGTTCACTGGTCAGATCCTGATTTTTGATGATATGTTTAAAAGCTGCCAACATTTCTCTTGGCCTCTTGGCAAGTGGTTTGATCAAGTTAGTATGAGATCTCCATCTTGTCAGAGAAAGTCTATGCATTGAAATTCCAGTTGCCTTAGTGAGAATCCTCCATCGGGTTAGACTTAGACTTAAAAATATTCAACATTTTTGAAGAATACTTTGATCTCAATGGCTAATTCAACTGCGAGCACACCTGCCAAAATCAGACTGTGAGCGCTACAGGGAACGTACAAAGCTTCTGAATAATTTAGCCTTATCAAGCCCTGATCTCCCTTGTAAGCACCTGACCTACTGGATCCTTTATCATGTCCCTGACCACGACATTTTTTATATCCATACATAGCCTTAAAATCACATTAGTGATAAGCTTAGCTATATCAAACCCTTTCTTCGTCTCAAAAGTTTCAACACATCATTCTTTAATTTTCCAGCAAGTAATTTCTCTTTCATAGAGGAGAAAACAAATGACAATGGTTATCCGCTTAGTATAAGATATATTAGGCGTACCATTAACTATGGTTGTGAAGTAGATACCATCCTGAATTTCTTCGACAGCTGCACTTTGGATAACACCATATTCTTTGGTAAACTTGTAAATGGACATTATTGTTTGCATGAGTCAGCTGTTCGGAAGACAGTAATTTGATTGATGCAAGCCGTAAACACCATAACAAATGTAAAAAATCATTAAAAAGTTTGAGACGACGGAAAGAAATAATGGGCTCTCATTATGGAGCCTTCTTGTTGATGTTGTCATTATAAAGTTTTCTCAATATCAATTTTAATTAATAATATAATTATTACAATAAATTAATTATAATTATTGTATACATTTTCTAAGTGGGTGTTACAAATTATTGTAATAATTGTAAAAAAAAATTAAAATTGATCTTGAGAAAAGTTGATAATGAGCTACCTAAAAAAGCTTCTTGTCACAGAGAAACTTCTATTGAAGAAATTAGAAGATTTTTTTTTAATGATTTTTTCCTTTGATATGGTGTTACGGCTTGCATCAATCAAATTACTGTGTCTTCCGAACAGCTGACTCATTCAAACAATAATGTCCATAATTTTTAAAAATATATAAATTACCGTTTTCCCCTTCTGACAACATAAAGTTCATAATATAATATTATAAACTAAAATAAAAATACAAAACATACAAAATTACAATAGAAGAGTTCTTAAACTTAAAAAGCAAAACATGTTAAATAATTCACTAAATTTAAACATATAATAATTTTTTATCAACAACCAACAAAAAATTGCAAATTTTGACTAGTTCAATATTTATGTTGTTAAAAAGTGTAAAAATTTTATAATGAGAAAGAAATAAGTTAAAACCATCAGCAAACATAACGTCATTAGGTTAGAAGCTTTTCGTAGATCATTAATATATATTAGAAATAGGAGAGGTCCTAATATGGATCCTTAAGGAACTCCACATGAAATATTTAACAAACTAGATGATATGTTATCATCTGCATAAACAAATTGTTTTCATTTATTTAAGTAACTTTTTAGTCAAATTAATATATTTCTAGTAATTCCGTATCACTCCAACTTTTATTAAAAGAATTACGTGATCAATAGTATCTAAAGCTTTCTTCAAGTCAATGAAAACACCTAAAGTAAATTCCCTAAAGTTAAATCCCTTAGAAGCCAGGAAAACAGCCAAACTCAAAATTTCACGAAGAATTGTCAGCCATTTAGCTGTCTCAGAATTTATTCACTTATGGAGCTCTAAATATTTACCTCTAAATATTACCGCTTCTGTCTAATTCTACAACAGCTAAATCCTATTTTTTTCGTAAAAATTAGTTTATTTATAGTTATAAGAACAGAATTTAAAACTTAAATGATTTTTTTTATGTGCAATTTTATTCCAAATACTAAAGTTTTAATCTCAAATGCAAAAACTAAGCAGATTTCAGATTGTCAGTCATTAAAATGTTTTCTATTTATTCTATAAAAAAAAGACGTATTGTCCGGCGCCCCTTCAAGCTTGGCGCCCGGGTCAATTTGCCCCCTTTGCCCCTCCCTCTAGAAGGCCCTGTATATATCTACTATAGCATATTTATATGCTCAATTGCTCACTTTTTTTGCTAGCCTAAATTAAGTGAGCGTTTTTAGAAAACGATGAGGGAAAACGAAGAATAATGAATGAAAAGCGGGGGCTGGGGCTATAGCCCCTTTAGCCCCCTTTAATCCGGCACTGTATATATGAGCATACTGTGGCAAAACAATTTGTAGAACACTAAAAATTAGATAAGTGTTTTTTACTAATTTATTATTGCTCTGTTCTTTAAGAACATTGAGCACTCTATTTGTTTGGTAATAATAGGAATATTGATACCCTCGTTATCAATTTGATAACGAGGGTATCAATATTCCTTCGAAATATCGTAAAAATAAATAAATATGTTTTTAACAAATAGAAATTAATCCATAAAACGAAGTTTAATTTAAAAATTACAATTAAACTCTATTGAAGATGTCAAAATGGTGTCATTTATAAGATGTTCTGTTAAATAAAAATGATCTGACTTCTTTCAAAAAACAAAACCAGAGCTCAATGTCATGTGTAAAACATTTTTGCACCCAACCAGAGAATCCTTTGCGCACCAATTGGTAAGGCAACAACTATTTTTCATTATGTCTCAAAATTACAAGAATATATAGAGCCATTTCATAATCTTTTGAGCTACACTCCTGATGTCAATGTTCTGAATTATTTAGTTATGAAGCTTGTCATACTTTCATCAACATTTCTTAATGAAACAGTTCCAGTTTCTTTAACTTTAAAATGTGCTCAAACTTCTATAACAAATTAAGCGCTAAACAAATTAAAAAAACAAGGTCGTCTTAAGTTAGTACATGTGGCTAATGTTCAAGTTAAGAAGGTTATTTTGAAATGTTCAATAACCAAGTTATGTCCTCTCGAACCGAATGAACCAAAAGGTATTGACCATTTGGTCAAAAGGAAGGAGTATGTTTACGAGACTATTAGTATTAATAATACTTAAATGTGAATAATAATATTGTAATTTAAATGTATCTAAGTATCATATATTGACTTGAAAGATTACCAAAGCTAATGAGGCAATTAGCCAGTTTTGTAAATAGATAATTAAAAAAGTTTAAAAATACATATAATATCTCTCTGGAAAAATGCTATATGGTATATATAATCATGTAAAATTTATAATAAAATAGTGATTTAGTATAATATCGATTAGCGTTAAATCAAAATATATAAAGCTAAAAAATTCACGTATTATTATTGAGTTTTAACTTTCTTACGAACACCCGTTGCTAAAAAGAAGCGCGAACTCCAGCTATAATATGTAATAATATGTATATGTTTTTTAAATATAATATGTATTTCTTTTATTCTTACGAGCTAAAATGCAACCAAATGTTATAAATTTATTGCATTTTTTTCATAAATTAATTTCAAACAGTCATTTTTTTAAATACCGCAAAAAACAATTTTTTGTACTAACTTTTGATTGATTAACTATTTTTTTGATTGATTCGTTGTTTTTTCATTTATTTTTTTTTTACTGCTAAGGAAAAGCCTAGCGATTAGCTACCAACATTTTGTAAAAATAGAAACTTTGTTTGTTGCTAGCTAGATAAGCTAGCAACAATCTAAAACAACAATTTGGCCACGACGATTGCTAGTCAAAGGCGATTTTATGAGGAGGGTGGGGGGAGGGTTACTACCCCTAAAGAAATTGATTTTTAAGTTATAGTCGATTTTTTCAGGAACATGTTGACCCATACACATTACACACAGACCCATTACATATACACGTTGGCCCGACGTCGGCACAACGTAGGTTTTTACAGCGGCCGATGGTAGTTTAACTACGTCGGGCCAACATAGTTTTTGCTCATCAGAATGATGTAGGCCCGATGTCGTCGGGCCGATATCAGTAAAACGACGTTGGGCCTATATCAGTAAAATGACATCGGGCCGATATGAGCAAAATGACATTGGGGCGAGATCAATGAAACAACGTTGGGATGAGATCAGTAAAAGGACACTAGCCCGCTTTAATTTTGATCAATAAATGAGATTACAAAAGCGACTATTATTCATAACGATTATAAAATAGAATAGGAAATTATCAAAAAACACATAATAAAACTACGAAATAATTATTTGTTTTTCTATTATTATCTTAACTATTTTTTATACAGTTTAAATAATTATTAAGTAATAAAAATATAAAAAATAGTTAACAGCAAATATTTCACCAACTTTTGAAGCATGTCGGTAAACAGTTTGCCAATTATACAGTAGATTTAATGTTGTTAGTTATAACTAGGGTGTTTCTGCATCGCAGGACATTTGTCATCTTTATGCATCTTTATTGTTTAATGAAGCATTGTTCTTAATCAGAATATACCTTACTCTAAAAAGCGAATTAATATATTAGTCTGGAAATAAAACTTTAATGCAAAGTTTTTCAAAAAATTTTATATTTTCTATCATACCCATGAAGTATTATCACAGTTTGAAACACGTTATTCATAAGATTTCAACTACTCTTTACTAAGATTTATTAAATCCAAATATTAACTTATTATTTATTACAAAATCAAAAAATAAATTTGTTACTATTCAAAACTTTTACATTTAATATAATAGTATTCTAATAATAATTACCTTATTAAATTGTTCCGGAAAAAGTAGTGACTCCAGAAAAAAAAGATTAAAAGTATGTAAGTAGTGACTCCAGAAAAAAAAGATTATATATATATATATATATATATATATATATATATATATATATATATATATATATATATATATATATATATATATATATATATATATATATATATATGTATATATATATATATATATATATATATTAAATGCTATTAAAAAATGGAATTAAAATGTTCATATAGCCAAGATAATATTTTTTTGCAATATTGAATTGTGGCAAATTATTTGTATTCGTCTTCTACATTATTTGCAAGTTCGTCGTTCAACTCTAATCTTCTCCGCTTTGCGCGGAGATTTATCTTTTGATTTTTGAAGCCATTCCTTCACTACGTCTTCTACTTCAGCAGCTGTAGCTTTTTTTGTCAATGGAATGAGTCAAACTGCATCTAATGAAACAAAAGAAAATTTAAATTTATTTATAAATTTCATAAAGTGCCTTGTTTAATTTAACAAGTATAGTTTTTTGCCATAACTATCGAAAATTGGTTAAACACAAGTAATCAATATAAAACAGTCATTGCAGCATAATCTTTTAAATTTTTTATTTAAATTTTTAATACACCTAGACACTGGCGTAGGAAGGTCTATAAAGTTTTGGAGGCTGAAACAGAAATTAAGGCATCATGCAGATATTTAAATTTATAAAAAAATGGTATAAAAAATTATGCATTTCTTTAAATTGCATAAAAAATGTAAAAAATGTGAGGTTCATAATTACCATTGACAATTTTTCTTATCATAAGGACTGAAAAGGCATGTTTTTCCCTATGCTCCATGAAATTTTATTCACCAGCTAAAACATTAGTTATCAAAGCTGTTAATACTCTCCTTGTCATATCTTTAATGTTGGCACCACCTATGACACCAAGGTAACTAGCCTAAATAAATAAATTTACTTTGAATAACATATACAATTTTTATAAATAAATAAATATATATATATATATATATATATATATATATATATATATATATATATATATATATGTATATATATATATATATATATATTTAGGGGAAAACGGGGCAACATGGCGAATGGGGCAAGATGGGTTTTCATATAACACTCAACAAAAAATCTTAAAATTGGGTAAAAACAAAACTGTATTTGCATCTTGTAATTTAAAACACCAATTGGTTTTTTGAAATATTATTAACGCCATTTTATACGCATAAGATTACTTTTTGCGCTTAAAAAAAAATTCCTCACTTTCGGTTTCTCATAATGGATGGTGTCCTTCAAGTTTGACTTCTTTAGAAGTAGTTTTTTGCAATTTTTGTTTATTATTTATTACTTTAGTTAGAGTTATTGGTAGTTTTTAAAATTTTATAAAATTAGAGGGAAAAAATTGCATAATAAGTCATCTTGCCCCGGTCACGTGACCAGATGACAAGTTTATGAACTTTTTCTTTTAATATTTATTTCAAATTGTTATATTTACAAACTGAAAACTCATGCAGGAAATGAATCATTTTAATAACATAAACATACTGAGAAAGTATTATTGCTTCATTACTGATAGTTTTGCAAGAACTCAGGGCTTTCAAAACGTTCGCCATTTTGCCCCGATTTCCCCTATTTAATTTGAAAAACCATGTTTTAATTAAACATCGCCAGTTTATCCGGATTTCGGCCCCATCCGGATTTCGCTTACCAAAAAAAACAACAGAAAAACCGAAATTAATTACCTAAAGTCCACACACTAATTAGACTAATTGCTGATAATTATTGCTCGTTAAAATTCGGCAAGTTAGAAAATGCATGAAGCAAACTATTTATTAATGAAAAAAAAACGGACTCTACATTTCTTTAACTACAAATCCATGTGACAACATCAACCAAATTTTCATGCAAAACTCTCAGCAAAATAATCCATAAAAAAGTACGGTAGCAATACACAATAGTTATATAAAAATCAAGCCTAACCTTTCTTTTTTTCAAAAGATGTCAAAGTTTATACATGTTTCTAAAAAGAACCACCTCAAAAACCGTTTGCCTAGGGCTACCTAAAAAATTGGTATACTTGGTATAACAATAATTAAACTAATTGCTTTTTTTTTTTTTTCATTGAAATTTGGCATGTGCATAGAAAATGCATGAAACAAACTATTAAAGTAATAAAAAAAGCTGACATTTCTTCGACCACAAATTCATATGAGAACATCAACACAACATTCAGGAGCAAATTATCCTATAAAAAAGTTAGAAACCATACTTAAAAGTCTTTAAAAAATCAAGATTAGCTTTTCTTCTTTCCAAAAATTATACATGTGTATATATGTTTCTAGAAAGAAACTCCACAAAACTACGTCAGCCTCACGTCTGCGGAATAAATTGTCTAAAAAACATTTCAAGAAACTTACGATTTGTTTGTGTTGACTATTTTAACTAAAATAAATCTTTCGTCAACTTCTTCGCATGATACAAACTGTTTCGTTTCTCGTAAAACCAATTCTTCGCGTGATACAAATTGTTTCGATGATATTAACCCACTTCTTCTCGTGATGCAAACTGTTTCAATATAATTAATACTTTTATCACTAACTTTCACAACAAACAGTTTGTTTTCAAAAGTATATGGTATAAAGTATATGTAAACGTAATAAAAAAAAAAGTAATAAATTAAGTATTTTCATCAAAAGTTTGCCAAGAATTTTTCTTTTGCGGTTTTGACTAAAAATGCAGACCATAAGTAGCATTTTTTTTACCAACTATTTACTCTAGCCATAAATATTAGGTTTAAATATTTTAATTGTGTACATTATTTATTAAGTATATTATTTATTAGGTAAGTATTTTAATTGTGTACATTATTTATTAAGTAAATTTTTGCATTAAAAAAATAATAATAATAAAAAAATTAAACTAAAAATACTTGGATAATATTAAGCTAAAAAACGGAACAAAAACTGTTCAGTAGTTTAAAAATAACTAGCACACGTTAACCTGACGTCGCACCGACGTGTTATAAATTTACTACGGCATAACTATGTTTTAAATGTGCATTGTGGTTTTCTGCGCTTTGGTTACTCAATTATTGCAAAGCGCTTAGCGCAGAAAACCACAACGCACATTTAAAACATTGCATTTCCTACGTTATGCCGACGTAATTTTTTTAGCTGATATAAACACGTTGGCTCGACGTCGGGCCAACGTGTTCATGTTATCTGGGGATTGAGTTTTAGTTTTAAGGACCTTTTTTAGAAGTCAGTCGGTACTTTTTAAGGATTAAACCCCCTCATTTTAATCTCTTGTTTCTAGTTTATGTAGTTAGCCTCTGTTGCTAACTACATAAACTAGAAACAAGTTGCCATAAATCATAACTTTACTGTACTACCCCCTTAATTAACTTGATGGTTGAAATTTCTTGCTATACTTTTTTAGCTATGAGTCAGCAAAATGTAGATAAAAAATTTAACAACCATTAATAATGCAATTGCTAAATCCAGTATTGAAAATGCTGTTAAAAATTACTGTTAGATTTTTTTTTTTTTTGCCGTTTCATATATTTACAATATAGACATAGTACATTTATAAAAATTGGCCGGAGCAAGAAGAAGACATTGTCTGTCTTATCACCGAGCCCCGTTTACATAATGTCCGTGTTTATAAACAAAAAAAATAAAATATACAAAAAACGTTAAAAATACATAACATAATAAAATGACTTTTATATTGATTTAAAAATAAAGTTTTGTATACTTATAAAAATATATTTGATACATGTTTAACAATATATATTTAGTGCTAATGGAAACGTTTTTTCTATTTTAAGATTACCTTTTAAAAAAAATATTTAAAGTCTATTGTATTAAAATTTAATTGAAGTAAAATTCTTTTAGAAACTGGTTTAAATTTTTCTAATGAGTTGTATTCTTTATTGAACATTAAAAAAAAATTTTTTCATAAAAAAGGTCCTCAATATTGAATTCGATAAGAACTTATTTTTAAATTATTTCTCGAAACAATAAAGTTATTCTCTTAAAACTTTTTGGATACTTATGAGAAATTTCACTAAAATAAGATTGAAATATAAGTGGAGATATTCCATGTCTCGTTTTAAACATGAAAAATAATATTTGGTAAATGTTTATAATTTTATAGGTCTTTTTCTTTTTTAACGACGCTATGGTAATTTGCTTAAATACCATGTACTATTGAAAACAAACTGTTTGTTGTAAAAGATAGTGATAAAAGTATTAATATATTAATAATATTTAAGGCCTTGAGACAATTTAGTTAGTGGTTTGAGTGGTTCGCAATACACAGTTCTGTTCGCCCCAAATACAATCCTACAAGCGTGGTTTTGTTTACTACAAATCTTTTTGAGTTTTCTGTAATTCATACTTCCCCATGCAATGTTGTAACACTTCCCCATGAAATGTTGCAGTAAGAAGGATAACTGTGAATAAATGAAAAATAAATTTTCATAAAAGTTTTAGTATTTAAAAATGGTTTTGTTTTATAAAGTACGGATATATTATAAGAGATTTTGAAATATTATAAGAGAGATGTGGAAAATCCGTGAAAAGTCTTCATCAAGAATTACTCCTAAAAAGTTAACAGTAGATTTCCTTTTTACATTTGTCTTATTGAATAAAAGATTTGGCAGTTTAAGTGGAATATAATGAATTTTATTTGGTTTGTGGAACAGGATGAATGTAGTTTTATCTACATTTATGAAAAGTGGTTACTTATAAACTATTAATTTACTTTAGATAATTCTTCATTAAAAATTTAAATTTTTTTTTATATCTTTGTGTGAACAAAACAGATTGGAATCGTCAGCAAACAATATAAGATACAATTTTTTAGATACTAAATATAAGTCATTTATATACACCAGAATCGGGAGACTGAATAAGCGCGAATTGGCATATATGCGAACTGGCATAAGTGCGAAGCGTTGCAAAAACTGGCATAAGTGCGCCAAAATATTTTGCAAATATTGGCATAAGTGCAAATTGGTATAAGTGCGAACTGGCATAAGTGCAAAGCACTTGCAAAAACTGGCATAAGTGCAAACTGGCATAAGTGCGCCAAATAAATTTGAAAATATTAGCATTAGTGCAAATTAGTATTTCGCACTTATGCCAATTTGAACTTATGCCAGTTTGCACTTATGCCAATCTTTGCAAAATTATTCAGCGCACTTATGTCAATTCGCACTTATGCCAATTTGCGCATATGCCAATGTTTGCAAATTTGTTCGGCACACTTATGCCAATTCGCAGTTGTGCCAGTTTTTGCAACTGCTTCGCATTTGTGCCAAATTGACATAAGTGCTTCTTACTTATGTCAATTTGCACTTATGCCAATGTTTGCAAAATCTTTTGATTCACATATGCCAATTCGCAGTTATGCCAGTTCGCACTTGTGCCAGTTTTTGTAACTGTTTCGCATTTATGCCGGTTCGCACTAATGCTTATTTGCACTTATGCCAGTTCGCACTAACGCCATTCGCACTTATGCCAGTTCGCACTTTTGAAATTCGCGCTTATTCAGTCGTCCCACCAGAATAAATAAAATCTTAAAATCTTTAAAATATTTTAACATTAATGTTCCTAACCTTCATACTTACTTTTTTTTTTTTGCTAAATATTTAAGTTACCATATCGTAGTAATGTAAATTTTCCAGTAAAATTTAATTCAAAATTTACCGGTAAAATTTACTTGTAAATTTACCGGTAAATTTTAAATAGAGGAGGGTAAATTTTCCTTTAAAAATTTAAAAAAAATAAAAATAAAAATAAAAATAAGTGAAAAAAAAATTTTAAATTTACCAGGCGGTAAATTTTCAGAATTTTCCGGTAAATTTTCCGGTAAATTTTCGGGTAAATTTTACATTCGCAACACTACCATATCGCGAGGTTAGAATTATTTTGTTCTAATTTACACTTTTTTAGAAAAATGAGTTATTGATTGCGTTATGTACCTCAAAATAATATTTTTCTGCTCTATTAAAATCTAAGATGAGTTTCTACTCTTCCGTTTTTTTACAGGAGCTGGATAGGGAAAAGAAAAAATAATCATTCGAGCATCCGTAGTTTTTCTTCTGACAAATTAAAACTTATACTACGCATGCCCACGTGATAATTTTTTTTTTCCACTCCCGTGAAAAAACGCATGAGTGGAAACTCACTTTAAATTATAATCAAAAATGTTGTGGAAAAAACATTAGTACTAAAAATCTTTTTATATGCCGTCTCTTAAAGTTTGTTTTTTAAATCGTTTTATCTCAAAACTCTAAAACGTGGAGGTAGAATAAAATAATTCTGAGCTCACGATATATTAATATTATACTTATTTACTTAACTGCAGTCGACAGAGGACCAGTACGATATTATTGATATATTTGATACTGTAAACTTAATCCAATAGATTTCTATTTATACTTACCAAAGTTTTTCCACTTAGCTTGCGGTTTTAACTTTCTAAAACAATTAATTGATATAGCTACAAGGCTGCAACATAGATATAAACTTGTCCTAATGTAATAACAACAATAACACAGATAAAAATTTGTCTTAACTTTGTAATTTGTAGAGATGCCACGAATATCGGGGACTAATCGGTATTCGGCCTATTTGGCTACTTTTTTTACAATCCGATATTCGGCCAAATATTGCAAACTATTCGGCCGAATACCGAATACCGAATTGTAACAAAAAAACGCATAAAAACGGATTTCATATAACTACTTTTATTTATTTTTTATTTTAACAAATAGTTAGCATATTTTATACTTAAAATCTATTGGAGGTAAGTTATAAAAAACATTTTCATCGTTTGATGATAGTAAATGATTGCAAGTTTCTGATAAATTATAAATACTTCCAAAAAAAGCCATTCACTGCGTAACCTGCCACCGGCAAATAATAAAAAACTTAAGCAAGTTCTGTTAAGATAACATTTTGCTTTTGCCGACCACAACTTGTAAAGGTTGCCATCCAATTTAAACAAACAAAGGTTGCAATTAGACTTTTTTCCACATCTGCAAATGTGTGCATATTTTTTTCTCACGTCTTCAAATGTGTGCATATATTTTGTATAGATTTGTTTGATTGTTTTCATTTCTTTTTCTTACAAAGTAGAACTGAATCATCACCTGTGCTACTAGTCACCGGTGATGACTTATAGATGTCAAGCAGACTTTCACTGAGAAAAATTAACCTTTCAACTGACTTAATCTTTCTCAGAGTAAATTACTAAATTACTTCATTACTAAAGCATAGTTAACATATGCACTTTAATGAAGCAAGTCGGAACCAGCAAAATACGTAAGTGTCGCTGAATATTCGACAGCCAAATATTCAACGCTTTGGCCATGCGCTTAGCCGAATATTTGGTATTCGGCAAAATTACTATTCGCGACACCTCTAGTAATTTGCTTTAAAGCTACAATATGTATCTATAAATATTTATTTTTTTCCCAGTATAATAGTTTACTGAACCCGTTATTATTTTATGCATAAAGATTAAGTCTTGCATGCACGTACGTATAAAGATTTTTCTAAAGCTCATTACTCGAAACTTTTCTCAATATATTTTGTGTATCATCTTTAAATGTTAGACTTTAACAAATTTAGAAAAATATTTTGTGTTCATAATGATATATTTAATAGATTTAATTATATCTTAAGAAAGTTTTTTGTTTGTTTGTATTCCTTTAAAAACTTTTTACCAAATGCCAATCTCACTCTGCAGGAATGATTTTCTGGACGTCGTCGACATTTATCGTTTATATTTTTAAAATAGAAAATTTTTTGATCCTTTCAATTTTTAATTTTTCTTCTTACTATTAGTAGTTCATTTCTAATTAAAAGACATTTCTTTAAACCTAATTTCTAATATGATCTATTATCATTTTATTCAACTGATGCTAATAAGAAGATGAGAATTTACTATCCATTAGATAGGAGAGGTATGTTAACTTTTTTCAATTTTAGTCAGACCTTCCAATTAAACTATTTAGCTATTATTAAATAATGTTTTTAAAAAGTTTGACGGTAAATAATTTAACGTGTCGATCAAATCAAATTTTAAGCTTGATGTAAAAAAGTATATTTGCATTTCATAATTCATTGAAGGGTTCATCTCATCATCACCATCATCATCAATTAGTATCATCATAGTATAATAGAAGCAACATAAGATCATCATAGTGAAGTTTAACATTAATTTATTACGAGTTATTTCTCAATAATACAAATAAAATTAAAAAATCTTTTATTCTACTCTTTCACTTTTTAAAGTCTTGTTAACTTTAGTAAAAATAAAGTTCAATTAAAAATAATGTTATTCTTATCGGTATAAAGAAACTCTTGGATAATAAGCCTCTGGAACTGTTACCACACCTCTCAATTTACTGTATGGGTTAGGATTGTTTGGACTAGGATTTGGATTCATTATATTCGGTCTTTTTCTTTTCTTAATTTTTTCTAAGTTATTTTCTTGCTCCTGCATTTGTTCAATTTCTTTTTGCAAGCGAATCCTCTGCTGCTCTATTTCTAAACCAGGACGATTTTGCTCAATCTCTTTTTGAATACGAGGTTGCTCTACTTCCTTCTGAAATTTAGCTAAATAAATGTCTTTTTGAATATGATTTTGATCAGATTGCTTCTGGAAGTGTTCAACTTCTTTTTGCAAACTTTGAATTTCGTTTTCTTTATGAAGACGAAGCTGTTCAGATTCATTTTGAATACGAAAATGATCCGTTTGGTAACGAGATTGATCTTCATCTTTTTGAAAAGATTGATCTTCAGCTAACTTTTTGAGATAAAAAACATGTTTTTCATTTTGAAGCTGTGGTGATTTTGCTTGTTCTGGTTCTTTTTGTTGCGTTGCCAAAAATTCTTCTTTGTGGGGTGGTAATGAAGCTGATAATAGGTCTTCCTTGTTATAATGCAAATTAGATAAGGCTTCAGATTCGTGATCAATTTTTTTTGTTGACATATTAGCTAATTGATCTTCTTGTTCAGTTTTGAGAACTGTTTGTTGCGCATTAGCTCGAAATGGTGAAGTAGCTAGAAAAGGTTCCAAAACGTTTTCTTTGGATGTTGTGGGAATTTTGTTAATAAGTTTATTCCATAAGCCCTTCACCGTTTCTCTATCATTCTCCATGCGACTTAAACCTCTTGGGGAAACGACTAATTGAGCACCACCCACCACTTCGTGCTCAGTTTCAACATCAGGAACAACACTAACAATATTCGATACCTCTTTTATTGAATTTTTTACATCAGGAACAACCTCCTGTTCAAAAGTCAAACATGGTATTTTTAATGTATTGAAATAAAGATGGCCCACTGCATCGGCTGTATACGAATTTGCATTTTTTAAACATGCTCGAAATTTAGCATCGCAAGAACAAGCCATAATATCATACTCAATGTCATTTTGAAAACCATATTTAGTGCTTTTAGCAGGCACAACTCTTTGACATTCATTATGCTCGTTGCAACAATTGTCTGTGGCACGAAGACTCGAGCTGATATCTTCTACAACTTCTCCTTTTTTTGCAATTTCACTTTGATAATGGATGTCAATGTGTTTCTTCGAACCACAAACCCGGTTGCCTAGGTAACAACATTTAAACAACTTAAGTATGAGTGATGTCATTGTAGTCAAGAAAAGTGATGGTATGAAAACAGTGTCGTGAAATATTTTATAATTTGCCAAGGTTTTTTTGACACAAAGAATTAGCAGTATAAATTATATTACTTTTTTAAATTTAAAAAAAGTTGTATTAATATCTTTCAAGTTTACAATTTACATTAATTTTGATATTTTTTATATTTGTTTACTATATTCATATACTATATACGTAGAAAATATTCAGATTACTTTAAAAAAAGTTAATTAGCGCATGTGCGCCCGATATAAACGATGTCACACATCGTACTAAAATACTGTATAAAAATTTATACTAAACATGTTACACGACATACTGTAAATAAATCTGTAAACTCAAAAGAAATGCATTATCAAAAGAATTTTTTGAAACCAAATATAAATGCTACCGGGAAAAATATAAATTTTTTTTTTCATTTTTTTTTCAAACTTTTTTTAGAAGTAAAATTTTAAATAAAGTTTTGAATTAAAACTTTTAAAACAAAATAAAACGTTTTTCGATATAGTAATAATATGATAAAGAAAAAACATATATTTTAAATAATATAAAAATGAAATTAAAGATTTTATATTCATCAGTCGATAATTTTTGTTATCCATTGAGGTTTACCATTTGATATGATTAAAACAATGACTTTTAGTCCCAGCTCTCCATAACACACAAAAAACATTCATTTCACTTACCAATCATAATAGTTCTTTTGTAAGTTTTGTCGATTTTTGAATGCTTTATGGAGGTTGTGTTATGAACTTGTTTCGACACATGTTTACGTCCAATTCTTCCATCCTTTTTTTTAGCTTTATGATTATTTTGGGTTCTTTTCTTGACATAGCTAAATGCTCCTACATCGTCTGGCTGATTTGCTAGCTGATTTGAAGTAATTGGTTGAAATCCGTCTTCCAGTTGTCTATATTCGTCTGGAGTAAGTCCCGTTGACCCTAACGATGTTTGACCAATGGGTGTACTCCTAAAAGCAGGTTCCAAGACCGTGGTTCCTATGTTACCTTGAACAACGTTACCAATTGATGGTACTACCCCATCTATTCCTATGTTTGCAATGCTAGAACCTAAGTTTGGTGAGTAATTTGACGCATAGTTTGGTTCTTCATAACTCTGATATTGATATGGACCTGAACTTTGTAATGGAAAACTTTTATACTCGTACAGTTGAGAATCTATTGGCGGATTTTTATTAGGATGAATGTTATAGTTGTAATTGTAGCCTTGGTCAATTTGTTGCGGTTGACCATTACCTGTATCAGTATAAGTTGAATCAAAACCGTGGCCTTCTCCAGCATAGTATTCATCATTTTCATGGTATTCATTAGAACTGGGGTCATCATAAGATGTACTTGTGTATTCACTGTCATATTCTTCATCTTCATAATCTTTTTCTTTTGCTGACTCTTTGTATTTTGTTTTACTTGGTTTCGAAAAATGGGAAGTGCTGGAGATTTTCCAAGACATCTTTTTCTTTGCTTTTTTTTTATTTTTTTCTTCATTTTGTTTATGCATTGTGCTGCTTACCTTTTTCTTATCGTTTTCATTTTTTTGAACGAAGTTATTTTTTTCTTTTTCTTTTTTTAATTTAAGTTGTTCATTTATTTCAGACGGATTTTTTTCGGTTTCTTTATTTAAAATTTGTTTTTCATCTTCTTTTTTCAATGCTTCAGATGACTTTTCATCCGAATCTGTTTTATTGGAAAGATTTGTGGCAGTTTCTGTAGTGTTGAGAAATGCAGCAGATGAATTTAGTGATGAATTTGAAACAGCTGTAGCATTTAAGTCTGCAGAAGACGCTAAAAAATATAAATCATAAATATATATAAAACATACAAACTAATACTTTAAGAACCGTTGTAAATAAAAAAGTAACAGTGGACAGTAATAATAATAAATAAATAATAGTTAATATAGAAATTTTTTATTATTATTTGTTATATATAGTTTTAATAATCATTATTATTATAGTTTTAATAATACCTTTTATTAATTTAGCAATTAAATTTCAATTTCAGCAATTAAAATTAATTTTAACTTTTAATTATTTTAATTATTTTAATTATTTTAGTAAAAAGATTAAATAATACTTAAATTCGAAAAAATTAAAAATGTAAAAAATGTTGTTACCTAATTTAATGCATATTATAAATATCACCGGAAATAAAACATCCCATAAGGACCTGGACATCGTAAACAAATTATTGAATCATAAGATATGGTCAGCGTGTTTTGACTTAACCACCTCCATTATACATACCATGAGTTGGCTGCAAAAATAAAAAAAATGCGTCGAAACGCTTCATTAACTTTTATAAAGAGTCCCATCGAATCATACCTTATGCCGGTTGCAGTATTATGTGTTAACTGTGCGCGGTTTAGCTATAACAGTCATGCTGAGAGAGTTTGTTTTAAAGTAGAAAATATTTTGTAGTTTTAATCAATAAAAGTTCTTTGTTTAAAAGATATTTCATTTACATTTTAAAAATATGAACTTAATCAGGTTTATTCAAACTTCAATTTTAAATGAAATATTTAAAACTGATAACTTAACTATAAATAATTTAATAATATTAACTTAAAGGTTTTATAACAACTGATATGGAAAAATGAAAATAATGGAAAATAAAAACTTCAAGAACCATAAAACTGTACAAAGATTTATATGACTGCATGGCCGCGGCCAGGTAGTCCATTTGCAGTCATTTGCAGTCCAATACAGTTGTTTTCCATATCTACGGCCGGCCGTTGACAAGTGGGGGCTTAAAGGTGTGTATGTCGGGGGAGAGAATAGGGACTCTTTAGATATTTATAAATTTCTTTTTTTAAATGTCTATAGAAAAATATTTCGCAATTAAACTAATGGTACATGTAGAAACGCCGCAAATAATTTTAAACGCGTCAATTCTACGCGATCGTTTTTTTTTATAAATAAGTAGAACTCGCTCTAGAAAAGTTATTAAAACATTGAATTGAACACGTGTTTATGAAAGACGATTCTTTTTTTGACTAGCCGCTATTAACATGTCAAGAACTTATCGGCTTGCCATTTATAAAGGCTGCCACTAATGGTCCACAAAGAAACCGATAAGCAAAACTCCAATTAACCGCTTAAAAATGTGAATAAATATCCACTGCAAATTCAATAAAACAATGTTTGCTAGGTATAAATATATATATATATATATATATATATATATATATATATATATATATATATATATATATATATATATATATATATATATATATATATATATATATATATATATATATATATATATATATATATATATGTGGTTAGAATTCAATAAATACGGCTGCGTATAAACTTTTTATTAATATATATATATTTTTTTTTCTTTAATATATAGTTATTTCGATATATTTTGCTGATCTATTGTGATCAGCGTCATCAGGTATAATAAACAAAATAGTTACAAAATCGTTATAGTAAAAACAAACCGTTAAAAACATAACATTAAAAAAAATAAAACAAATGAAATATAACAAAGATATTAAACCTGCTATACTCAATTTAACTAATGTTACTCTGGATAAATCAACAACTGAGTTACTCAATTTAGGTCCAAATTTTGTACCACTGCCAAAAAAAATTCCTTACATGGATATTATAACTAATATCGAAACTTGCGCTTTACAACTTGAAAAACTTAAAAAACCAACACAGGCAGAAACTCTACGACAAAACTGTTCACAAATTTTAACAAATTCGCTAAAATTAAGATTAAAAGATAATTTAACTAAGCAACAACGTCTTTTCATAAACAAATTAAAAAACAGTTCTAACATTAAGATATACCCTTTCGATAAAGGCACAGGTTTCGCATTATTAAATCAAAAAGATGCATCGCTCAAAATAAAAGAACAAATAAAAAATAGCAAAATTATTGATTATGATCCAACATCCACATTGACTACTAAATTTCAAAGACAATTGTGCAAATTAAGAAAAGAAGGTAAACTAGACACAAATACATACTTTAAAATGTATCCATCAGATTGTAACCCACCAAGGATTTACGGAATGATTAAAGCTCACAAACCAGAAAAAGATTACCCAATGCGCTCTGTTGTATCAACAATTAACACACCACCTTATGGAACATCTGATTATCTTGTTAAAATTATTCAACCAACTCTGAACAAAAATAAAAGTAGACTTATGAATTCTAACAGTTTTGTAAATGAAGCTAAGCAATGGATAATAGATCCTAACGAAGTTCAAGTTTCATTTGATATAGTCAATTTATATCCATCCATACCCATTGACGAAGCAATTCCGGTTATTATTGATATATTGAACGCTAACATTGATGACTTAAAAACTCGAACTAAAGTTACTCTTACAGACATATATCAATTAATTGAACTTTTATTAAGTATATGCTATTTTTTATATGAAAACAATATCCGAATAATACCTAATTCAGGTCCTTTAGGTTTATCTTTAATGGTTGTTATGGCGGAAGCGTTTTTACAAAATATAGAAAGAAAAGCCCTTAACATAGCAATTATTCATACATCCGAACCAAAAACTTACAGGAGATATGAAGATGATTGTCATGCTCGCTTTGCTTCAATAAAACAACAACAAATGTTCATCCTTAATGAACAACATCCTGCCATAAAATACACAGTGGAACTTGAAAACTCAATTTCCTAGATATTAACATTACAAACACAGGCTCTGGAACTTATGAATTTCAAATACATAGAAAAGAAGCTATTACAAATGTTCAACTTAAACCTCGAACATTAATCCTAACATTATTATTGGCGTTTTCAAAGGATTTTTATGTCGTGCTAAAAGAATATGCTCTCAAAAACACCTTCAAAAAGAAATCGATTTTCTAATAAACATCTTTGTTGAAAATGACCACGACAAGAACATTCTAAATAATATTACTACAGACTATTTAAAAAACGGTTCAAAAAACACCACATTTCAACAAATAGATACCAACCCTTTATAAAACTACCTTGGATACCAAGTGTTGGTCCAAAACTTCGTGAAGAATTTCGAAAGCAAAACATAAAGGTTATTTTCACATCAACTCCCAATTTAAAAAATATTTTCTGCAACAATAAAACTAAACTACCACTAAACACAGACCCTGGCGTATACCAGCTAAAACGTTCATGCGATTCGATATACATTGGTGAAACTAAAAAGAAGGTGACATCGAGATGTATTGAACACCAAAAAAACAGCTTAAAAGGAAAATGGTCCAGTTCGGGTGCAACTGAGCATTCTAAAACATGCCATGGTAAGTTTGATTGGTTGCACCCCAAAACATTATCTGTAGCCCCAGAATATCGAACTCGGAAAATCAGAGAGTCACTCGAAATAAGCAAGGCTAGGGTTCAACAGGAGTTGAGAAATGGTGATGTGGTTCTCAATCGGGATGACGGTGATAACGTAACAACCAAAACCTGGGGGCCATTTTTTAATAAAATCTGCTGACGTCAGTTGTTTGAAAAGTTTTTTTCTGTATTTTATTATGGCTTTTTAATGTTATCTTTTTAACGGTTTGTTTTTACTATAACGATTTTGTAACTATTTTGTTTATTATACCTGATGACGCTGATCACAATAGATCAGCGAAATATCGAAATAATTATATATTAAAGAAAAAATATATATATATTTAAAAAAAGTTTATACGCAGCCGTATTTATTTAAGAAAATGACATTCAAAGATTATATATATATATATATATATATATATATATATATATATATATATATATATATATATATATATATATATATATATATATATATATATATATATATATATATATATATTGTTACAAGTTTTTTTGTACCGAATAAAGATACAAAGCCTCTTGTACGTTTTTTTAAAGTGATCAATATAATGTAAATTAATTATTTACAAAATAGATCACCAATTATATATAAAAGTTTAACTAAATAAAAAAATACAACTTTATGATGGAACTTAAAGTTTCATGCCATTTTGGCAATCATCAGCCATATATATATATATATATATATATATATATATATATATATATATATATATATATATATATATATATATATATATATATATATATATATATATATATATATATATATATATATATATATATAAGAGAGAAAGAGAGAGAGGTGTAAAATATAAGCCAAGTTTGAGTCCATTTGTAGACATTATTTAGATCAGTTTGAATTTTCATAGTATATAGTATATGAATATTTTTGAGAGCATTTTTTATCATCTGCATATAGTTTGGTGACATTTTTAGGAATGTCTTTAATATACAAAAGAAATAAAAGTTCGTAATATTATATAACCTTGTAGCACACCACTGAAAATTTTAACCCAATCAGAAATAATTTTGCCTTAAACAATTATTTGTCTTTTTAGAAAGCTTCAATCTATTTAAATATCAGACCATCAAAGCCAAAGGCTTTCAGTTTAACCATTGAAGGATCCAGAGAGGGGGGGATAGGGGTATTCATCAATCTTCCCCTTCCCCACCCCGCCAGAATCTGAAAGTCATAAAATATCTTAGAAATGGAGGACCTTTTTTTTTTAGGAGACGCAAAAAGATACAAAATACAAAAATAATTTAACTGAGTTTAAAAACTTTTTATATAAAAGTGTCAAAGATTTCAAAATTTAATTAAATTCAACTGAAACTATATCTGGAAACTATATCAATTGGAATACCATCATCTAAGTTTGATGAAATTTAGTTGAGGTTTTCAAAAAGATTAGTACTACATGATTTCTTACTGAACGGTTAATGCTGGGCAGAGTATTATTATCTTTTTTAAACAGTGGTGATCTGAATTGAAATGAAAGTTTACTATTAGTTGAAGATGTCCTAAAAATTAATGTTAAAAAAATAGCCAAGTAATGTTAGAAAAAGGCTTCAGAACAATTTTTGAGCAAAAAATGAATGTATATTTAAAGATAACTAATGTAAATAACGTAAGCTAACGTATGCGTAGATATTACAGTCATTGGCATTGTCTAGGACATTGGCATTGTATCGTATAAAATGGCCTAATAAATGGTGTAACATAAGTCATATATTAGTATAACGACATCAGCCATTATCTTTTTTTAGGAAAAACTATTTGGTATTTAAATAATAATGGTATGATGGTATTTAAATAATAAAAATACTTATCTTCGGCAGGTATCTAGCGTCTTGAGACCTTTTACAAAAAGACTTTATAGGTAAACAGAAAATTCCTGTTGAATATTCTCGTATCCCTACTTCAACAAATAGGCTGGCGTTACCTACTTTAAATTTTTTCAAGGATGATGAACACAAAATCAATTTGACTTTACTCGTAGATTTTTGTTTGTGCATCCTTTGCATTATGAGTTAGGCTGGAAGAAAAGTTTCCCCAACTCTATGGTAACTCTTGCAAAATCTGACTTTTTTGGCAGCTCTTAGAATATTAACACCTAAAAGTTTTAAAGTACTAACAGAGAAATGTTGCACATTGATGGTATCTCTTTTATTATTTTAAGTGATTCAAAGTCACATAAGATTTAATACTTTGCTTTTTGATTAACAGGAATTTATAATTGGCTCGTGCAGCTGCTATTTCTAAGTCTCATTTCAATTGTTTTTCATATCTTGTGTTATTTTTTCTTGTTTTTTATTTCTTTTGTTATTTTTTCTTGTTTTTTATTTCTTTTGTTATTTTTTCTTATTTTTTATTTCTTTTGTTATTTTTTCTTGCTTTTCATTTCTTTTGTTTTGTTTTTTTTTTTCACTAGAAAAATTCTCTTTAGACTTTTAATTGTTACAAGAAATCAATGCAAAAAATAACATCTTCTGATGTTAAAGTATATAATTTGCAGATTACTGTACCTTATATCAGTAGCGTAGCGACAGAAAATAGGTCATCCCGCAAAATTCTAATCCGCGCCGCAAAATTCTAATCCGGGCCTTCTCTGTTTACTCCGCCCTCCTTTCCCTTTTCTTGACAAAAATAATTCATGAAAACAAAAATCTTATTTTTAAATATAATTTTGATTTAATTAAATAAAAACCAGTATGTTACACTTTGCAAGTTTAGTATGTAAAAAATCTAATGAAAGTTTTTTTCTTGTCTTTATAGCTGCGAGTTGTTCTATAACACCTTTTGAATTTAATTGAGCTGCTATTTCTGCTTCAGTAGCTGTTAGGCCCAGTGCAGACAAAATGATTTGCGCCATTGTTGTCTTTAAATGTGTTTAATGTGCTTAAGAATATTTTGCAGTTGCTACGCTAATAGGTAATGTCAAATATACATAATTGCTGCAATTATATTTTAAATGAGCAACTTAAATCATAATATGTTATTGTGGAAACGGGTAAAATGAAAAAATGCGGAAATTTTCAATGTGTAAAATGCGAGAAAAAGTGCGAACAATTTCTCTTAGCCCTAAGCTTCTTGCTTCCCCAACCAAAACACTTAGTCAATGAAATGGTAGATTCAATCTTCTTAGTCTTTGCAGTATTAAAGATGCCTTAAATTGATAATCCGTTTTGTTGCTTTGCGTTGAATAGATTCAACCAAGGTTTAATCAGTTTTTAAATAAGAACAAATAGACACTGTATATTTATGGTGCGGTCTAATAAACACTTTATATAACTTTAGAGCCGTTTTCATCAATGAAAGTGAATGTGTTTTTGCATACCAAAAATTTGTAAAGACTTTGAGACAACAGTTCAAAAATGTGTGTTCCACTTACAACTGTGGTTGTTCCACTTACAACTGTTAGGTTTTTAATATGTGGAGTAACCCAAGGTAAAAGTAACCTCATACTTTTATCTTATATTTTCATTTTATATTCTTAAAATATTCGCAATCAGTACAAAATGTTTGAAATTTCGCTACGCTACTGCCTCTTAATTTTTTCTAAAAATTTAGGTTTCAGAGGCAGATTAATAAGATAGGAGTTAATAATAAGATTAGAAAATTAAATTTTCAGAGATTCCAGATTTAAATCAACTCTAACCCTGATCAAAAAAATGGTACAAAAAATCAAACTATCAAATGGCTCACTAGTTATTTAAATAATAGACAACAGACATAATAGACGGTATCTATAATAATAGACAACAATATGTCATAACTGACGGTACCATGACCCTGGAAGTATCGCGCTCAACTTACCTTGTTTGTAAAGGATCGTGTTTCGGAGTTATAGAGTTGAGAGATGGTTATAACCACAAATACGTAGCCTCCTCGTCTGTAGTGGCCTTCACGGTCTTGAGGAGGTGAAATAACAAAAAAAGAACCAATCTCTAATATAAAGCTATTAAAAATAGAATCTCTATTGTTACTAACAGTTATCATTAACCTTATTAACATTAACAACCTTTACAACTAAAACAAATACAAACAAGTCTTGATTTTATAATGTTTACAAATAATAAAAACTTTATTTATCTACAAATCCTGGATCTGCCCAGATAAATAAATAAATGTAACACGGTAAGCCTTGAGAAGCGTGATTATTTATTTTTATTATTTTTATAACTTCAAGTGCAAAAATGGCTCCTGATACTCTTGGATTGGAACTAAGAAAGAAAATTATTGGCGATTACGTAAGTGGAATGTCACAAAAAAGTATTTGTGATAAATATCGAGTGAAAAAATGGACCGTATCAAGACTAAGTTCCGAA